ACAGACTAGCGGGCTCCGAAGAAAACTTACAGGAATATAAGCGACAACGAAACGTTTGTAAAAGTGAGGCCTCAAAGCTGCGAAGGAAGTTTGAGCTGAACATACTTCGACATTCTTTGGACCATCCGAAAATTCTATATGGTTATAAACGAAGTACTAAAAGGACTCAGGAGCTGATCCCTGTCCTTAGGTCTGTAAATGGAAAAGTGGTGACTGATGACTAGGTTAAAGTGCCCCTCCTTTCCAACTTCTTTCAGTCCGTCTTCACCCGAGAACCTAGTTCTATATTTGCCCATCCATCCGTTCGCCAACCAACCTCCCCTTTCGTTACCCTTCCCCCTCCTTCACCCTCCCTACCTTTGTTAACCGAGGAACCACTCTTTTCGTCGACCATGGTTAGGACCGAGCTACTCTGGCGGAAACACGCCAAATCGCCTGGCCCTGATAGAATTCCCGCACTAGCACTTCGCGAACTTGCTAATGAATTGTGCAAACCATTATCTGCGATATTTCAAAAGTCATTTGAAGACGACGGGCTCCCGGAAGAATGAAAGTGTGCACTCATTACTTCGATCCATAAAGGAGACTCAAGACTTGACTGCGGAAATTATCGTCCCGTCAGTCTTGCTTGCATCGCCTGTAAAATAATGGAACACATTATCAAACGACACTTGATGAAATACCTGGAACAGAGCAAAATATTGTGAGATGCCCAACGCGGCTTTCGTCCAAAGCACTCCTGCCTAACGAGTGTTCTTTACTCGCACGAGAAATGGACACGAGCTACCGATAGGGGTTTTCCAGTGGATGTCATAATTTTGGACTTCAAGAAGGCCTTTGGCAGTGTCCTACACAGGCTTCTTTTACAGAAGATCTGGATGTAGGAATTCAAGGACGAATGGTTAAATGAATCAGAAGTTTTCTGTCCTCCAGAGTACAAAGGGTCGTCGTTGTTAACCCTACCTCGGAATGGGCAAAGGTGGGAAGTGGTATCCCACAGGGTTCTGTCTTAGGCCCAGTACTCTTCCTGATTTATGTTAATGACTGCATCAGCGAACTGAATGGCGAGGTCCTCCTGTTCGCGGATGACATAAAAATATGGAGTGAAGTCAAGTGCGATGATGATGCAGAGAAGTTGCAGTCCAACATCGGCAAACTGTGTGCTTGGTCGAACCGATGACTTTTGAAGTTTAACGTGTCCAAATGCGTGGTCTTACACCTGAACACCGGCCGCAATGCCTCTCCCAAACACCAGTTCACGCGACGAGGTTAGAAACTGTGGAAAGACACATAGATCTGGGTGTATGGAGGACCACAAATCCATCGCCATCAGAACACTGCAGAAAGATGGTCCAGAAGGCAATTAGTACTTTACACTGGATCAGACGTGCATTTCGAATATTTCCTCCCGAACTCTTCGAAAGACTCTTTGGTGTCTTTGTAAGACCTAATCTGGAGTATGGGATGCCAGCAGTTTCACCATGGATGAGGAAGGATATCGACTTACTCTAACAGGTGCAACGCAGAGCGACAAAGATGGTCTACGGTCTAAAGCATTTGCCTTATCAGGAGAGACTGAATTTGCTTGGCTTATTCCCCTCTCTTATAGACAAATAAACTGCAGTCTACTTTGGACGTTCCGGATTGTTTGTGGCCAAGGCCACTCATTAAGAGCAGAGGACTTCTTTGAGTTTGCCCGCACAAACTCACTACGCGGCCATGCATACAAAGTCGGAAATGAGTGCACGCGTTTAGACCGTCGAAAATGTTTATTCAGCCAGCGGTTTGTTAGACCGTGGAACTCGCTTCCAAGCGAGATGGTGACGGCCGGCACAATTTGGTGTTTAAAGGAAAACTTACTCGTCTAGTTTTCGACAGAAATCGGCTTTACAGCATGACTTTGCACAGTCATTTTTCAAAAAAAACTTTCATATACAACCCTTCCGCACTAATTTGTAGTGCCCTTATGCACTATCTTATGATTACGATTGAACTGTGACCCGATCACATTGTAAGTGTCTGTAATTTTATTTTTGAGTACGAATATGTGAAAGCACTGTACATAAATAGGGTCATCAAGGGCTCTGACTCTAGCCCTCCAAATATATACATGCATACATACATACTAATTTTGCTGCACTGCAGTCTAGATGAAACTTCAGTATCGTGTGAATATTGGAAATCGCCAGAGGCAGGCTGTCAGGCCAGTTCGCTGGGCGATCTGCGGCACATATAGTGGTCTTTATTCGAACATGGAAGTGCCCATGGCGTCTGCTATGGCTAAAGCTGCCGCGACAAAATTCTGAAACGTTTTGATAGCATGATGAAAACCAAAGGACGTATACATGGATGCCAAAAGGCCAAATGGGATAGTAACGGCATTCTGCAGTATGTCCTCTGGGTCACATGTTTCTGCTGGAAGTCGTGCAGCGAGTGGATTTCGAGAAAATCGTCCTATCGAAAAGGCCCCAAACGGAGTTTTGAAGGTGAGTACTGTATGCCGATCGGGAACTGTAGGTCAAGGTCAACGCGCGCAGCACGATTTTGAAAAGATAAGTGAAAGTTATATTTTTGGATTCAATTTCTTAATCCCTTGCACAGTTTTCCAGTGTAGACCTGACGAAATTTTCTATTTTTTGTCATAAGTCTTCTTCGCTTCCTGTCGTGTTTCTGCGATTTGTCATAAAGCAGAAATCTATTGTGGCAGTTTTTCACCCAACATAGCCTCAATCCTATCAAGTCTTACCTGCATATACAAAAGGTTTTCCTCGTAAAAATATAGATTAACATTATATTTTAAACGATAAACCGTCTCCACTAACGGCTTTCATCGTCAGTTTATTGAGAATTATACTGTTATCTATTTTATCCTACATAGCCTCATTATCCAATTCAGATTTATTCATAGTTCTGTTTTACCACCTACGAAATTGTCATTTGCCCGTTTTTTTTTTTTCTAGTTTGCATTCTGGTATTGAGTAAAACCTGCTTAGTATAAATTGTGCTGTCTGGTCCACCAATATTTGCAGCTTTCATAAATCGTTTCATCATACGTAGCCTCATCCATATATCCTCGAAGTTTCGGCAGTTATCATCCATATAAATATTTGGACTTAAGTCTTGTATTGCGTTTTCGGCATGAAACCTCAAGCAACCCTTCGTCGAAATCTGAAGGAAACTAAACTTCATCTGAAACCCAGTGTTCATATGAAAAAAATTGATCTAGGGGCGCTTGATGATTTTAACAACTTTATGTCTCGTTGCGGATCAATTTTTTCTGTCCTTGGTGCCCTTCTTGACGGAAATTTGCCAACGCTTACGTCTCAGCAGTGTGAGAAGCTCATGCCTCTCATTAACCTGGTTGCGACTGAGACTGAAGACAGGCACAAACGAAGTTTCAACTTTATATTAAAAAACGTTCCCAAGAGTAGACAGCCAATTNGCTTAACGGACTTCTAATCTCAAAAACTATGCATTGCACTTTGTGCAGATTTTGCCTACATCGTCTAAAATTTGCATGTAAATTTATTTTTACTTGCTTTGATGGGACCCCGACGGGTCTTTAATAAAATAATTGAAAAAATTGAAATTGAAAATTGAACGTTACCGTTGTATTGCTCACGGTAGTCCCCACTGGGTCGCTAAACCCTCGATGTCGCCTTGGGGATCATATGCGAAGGGGTCGCCCAGGGGCTCTTGGACGGTCGTTTGATGACGAATTTCAGCATACCTTCGAACTCCAGTTCACGGTCTGCAGGCAGGCCCGCGCCATTCATCTAGACTGAGAGAACACAGAAAGACTTCCGGTGCGAATGTAGTGCACAACGCCGTCTCGGACCCCGTAATTACGTAAATGGGGACTGGTTAATTTGGATGTGGCATGAAGAGCTGCCGATAAGGGCAAGTCTTATTTGTGTCCAAGGCATAAATTATAGAAGGTTATAGAGGAGCTTAATTCATGAACAGATAGGTCAACAGTACGGTCGAGCAGTCGCGCCTTGGCAGTCCATAAGGTAGTCAAACTCGTCCAGAATGTCCAAGTCGAATATTGGTTGGGGAATATCGATAATCACAAAGACCTGGAAGATTTTACAATAAATACCGATGTTCAGTTTAAGGGATATAATGGGGATCGGATGAAAACTGGTGGTCAGGAGATTACCAGATCTCGATTAGCGGCGGTAAACTGGGATGGCTGGGATAACGCTGATGTAGGCGTCTCCCCCGGCTACCATGGGAGGTTGGGGGACTGGGAGAGATAGATCCTTGATACTAGGGGCAAAGGACATAAGAAAAAACTAGTTGATATGCGGAAAGTCAGTGTAACATATATCAATCGTTTATTTTGTCCCTTTTGAACATTTACCTGCATGACAAACGATTTACGCGACGTAAGTGTCTTATTTGGTTGGTCCTTAGTTATGCCTACCACGGAAAGCGCACGGAGCACTAGGTAGTTGCTAGAACGTTCGTTCATCTGAGATTTTTAAGAAATTAATAACCGTCTCGCGAACGGGCTCTTATCCGAATAAATGCGTCCAAAAGGAATCTTTTGACCTTGACTTCGAGTACACTGCATGACCCTCACGATAGCCTATTTTTGTGACTATTTAAAACGACATCCTATGAATTGGTAGGACGTAAAGGCGTAATTAAATATTCGAATTGAATCAAATTTTGCAACAATTTTGCAAGTAGTTGTTTAATGTCAGTCTTCATTTTTGATATGTTTTGCAACATCGGGTTTACTTATTTTATTTTTCATCCGCGGATGAAAACATATTTAGAGGAAGACGCGTCTTCCTCTAAATAATAAGAGTTCAACTATAAAAACAAATAAAACAAGCTTAAATCCAGGTTTCGTTTTTTACAGAAAACTGATGCGGAACAAGATGAAGATGCTCGCTGTTATCTTGTGTATATCGACGTGTAATGCTATTAGAATAGCATCCTTTAATATTCAAGTCCTTGGAAAAACGAAGTCACAAAATACTCAAATAATGAAAATCCTTTCATCAGTAAGTTTCCTTTTCATTTTGCAAGACTCCGCGCAGATAATTCGAACCTTTGATCTGGTTTTTATCCAGGAGATACGCGACAATAGTGAGCAAGCTTTTCAGCGTTTGCTGATGTCCGTTAATAAGTGCGACTGTCCCAAATGCATCGAGCGAAATTTCACATACGTTGGGCAGACATCTCCACGTTTCGGTAGGACAAGATCGAAAGAACAGTATGGAGTCGTATACAAGTAGGTATTTTTTTCTGAATTCGAAGTTTTTAGAGTGACCATATGCATTTTGAACATAATTCAATCTCATTGAAAAAATAAATGTCTGTTGAAAGATAAATAATGACAGCTGCAAAAACTCTTCAAATTATTTTTCGCCCACAGCCCTAAGAAAGTGAAACTAATGGGCAAATCCGAAGTCACCGTTACCGAGGGAGATTTCGAACGTCCTCCCTATTGCTATTCGTTCAAACTCGTCGAAGGAGGTATGCTATCATTAGATACTCTACTCCAACCGAGTCGTTGGTTGCGTAGTTTTCTGAACACCTTGTGCCATCTTTTAGAACCTTTATCGTTTGCTGTCCTTGTTACTCACATTGATCCCGATGCCGTATCCGTTGAAATGGATAACCTTTACTCCACAGTAGAACAGTGCACAGGTGCTTCCGAAACTGAGGTGCGTTTATGAATTTTTATGCGTTCTATTTTATTCGAGACTTTGTGGACATCTTTCATAAAACCAACTTACCATAGTTCTTTAAAAAAATTATTTTGTCTTCAAAAATTCAGTCTCGTTTCCTTGACTGTATATTAAAAAGATAGCAATAGTGGAACAAGCCATATGTAATTTCTGAAAATATGTACGCCTTAGGGTTTTTGAAGGTACATTTCAACGTTAATGTTTTGTAACTCAGTAACATTATTTAAGCTGAAAACTGGTTCTATTATCGGAAAGTTAACGTCACTGAAAAGTGTAGGACATTATGTGAAACACCTCAGTTTATACCTTGACAGGCAAATCCATCAAGCACATATCGAGAAAAGATTAAATGAACACTTTTTAAATTCCGTTTGGCTCTGTTTTGGTAACGAAAAAGGATGCAGTGATCTGTAAAACTAAAATCGAATGTCCGTCTAGATATCTCTCGCATTCCATGAAACCAAAAAACAGATAACAGTATTATAGGAGACGTAACTCACAAAACCAGCCATCATGCGTCAATCGAAAACAAAGTATTTTTTGCATAAATCTGAGATAATGATAAGACGCTTAGAAATGAAAATTTTTTAAAGGGAAACAAAAGTGTCCAAAGCCCCAAAATGCTCATAAAACTAATAAACTCAATTGATTGAAGTACGTAAGCCTGTTAATTCACATAAGGAATTAAGTCAAAGAGCTTTAGCAAAAGAGTTTTCAAAAAATCCTTTTTGCCTTTATTGAACGTAAAGAACCTGTATACGGAATGCACATGAGTGCGTATGCGTGCAGGTTCCAAGAATACTCGACAACAATCCAGTGAAGCTTTTTTCTTTCACACTTTAAAAAGGGACGATAAGGACAGAAACGACATTACTTGATTTAAAGACATTAACGTAAAGAAACTGAGGTTGTTATTAGGCCACCTGTTGAAAGTCGTGTCACTGATTACAAATTGGAACGAAATTAGCAGACGCAACTGCAAGCGTGTTTTTTCAATCTGTCATTAGGTATGTTTTTAGGGAAATTTACTATGCTGTTTTTGGGAACTGTGCACTACGCTGAGTTAATGTGTTCCTGGAATATACTGGATATTTTGAACATGTCATTGTTTAATCGACCGCCCTGAAATTAGATTCTGAGGCCTGCGTCTATCGCGGCCATCAAAATGTAATAGTTTCTGAAAGTAATTAAAAGTCTTGAGTTCTTTGGCGTTTTATTTTATCCGCGCAAAATGTATCCGCTAGCAATGGACAGTCTTGGTCGTCAAGTTTCCTTCTTGAAATAAGTTTTATAATTTATTTTATTGTTAACTATCTACGAAATGGTCCTTTAAAAGTTGACGTCAGAGAAAAAGTAAAGCATTTGGCCTGCTTCTTCACATCTTTGAAAATTGCCAATACTGTGCCCACTTCAGACGAAAATACTTTCCTTTCTTCTTATGCTGCAGACAGCTGCCTTGCTTTGGTTTACTTTAAGGCTTTTTCTAGAATTTCAAATACCGAATACAGTCACCCAATAAATGTAAGCCTGTTGCCCAAACCGTTAATGCTCCACGCGTCCCTTGCCAGTTTACACATGGTTGCTTGCCTAACCGTGCAAAAAGTATCTTACCATGTGGACAAAATTTAACAAGGTTTTCCGAAGATGTTCGTTAAGGGACACATAAATATTTGTAAATTAAAACAAACAAGCGCAGTCTTTGCCGAAGAGATGACGAAATACCATTGATGCGCATAGGCGCTAGCCTTGACCAACCACAGAGTCACTTGTTTAACATGGTTAAACAGTTGACTGCTTTTTGTCTGGCAACAAGCTGAGGAACCGGTTTCAAAAAATTTCCTAATATGAGTTATTTTGTTCCCAAAAATCTTTTCTATTCCCAATTAAAAAAATGACAGCCTGTAAAATGTATTAACGTAAAAAAGTCGTATACCTTAATTTTAGTCATCGCTGTCTATTATTCTTGCGTTTGAAAGCAAACCTATGGCAAGTGTTAAGAAGGTCGTTTCTTTACTGCTGTAGATGTTTGAGGAATACGATTGGACAGATCTTACGTTAGAGAGATTTCTTGTCAAGTTCGTTAAATTTTATCTTCTTACTGGAAACCCGATTCTTCTTTTACCTCACGAAATAAACAGGCACACAATCTGGCGTACGGTCATTATAAGAATGCTGTCTGATAACAGACACGCTAGATCTTACACTCTGGTTGGGACGTAAATTAAAACATCAAAATTCAGTGGAATCGATGTACAGACCTCATTTTGGATTGGTTACTGATGGATTTGGCGGGCGACTACGAGTCGAAGAGATGAGACTCCCAACTAACATTTTGCAAAACGCAAATGTACTTGCTCAGGCAGAGGTGGAAAGAGCAAGCCTCCTGAGTTTTTACGTGTTTATGTTTGATAGGAGGTTTTTAAAAAAAATCCAAAGTTGCGATTGTAGAATAAAAACCACAGTCATGACTTTGCATGCCACACTAGGTAGACTGATCAGTTGATGGGTGACGGCCACTCGCCTATGAGAAGTTGAAGTCTGCTTTCCGTCAGTTGGAATGCTAACTATTCTATGACGTGAGTTAAGCAGACTACCTCAATATGATCTTGAAAATTTTTGACAAATCCGGGGATATTTTGCGCACTTCATTTTGCCCTTCTTATTTTGCACTAGTAGATTTAAAGAGCAAAATGTTTGTTCTGCTGTTTCCAATGCAACTATTTTTAACATACTTTTTACCGAACGGTTTTAACTGTATAATGGCGTACCCACAGCAGAGACGCTAAGATGTATTTTTTCCGAATCGCCTGATATCGCGAAATACGTTTGAACAGTGGAAATTAACATTTTCCTCATGGATGGCTGCATGTCCTCTAAGTCTATGTCCACTGCCTTGAAGTTCCTTCTTTTCGAAAATATTAGATCGCACTGTAATAAATAGCCGGAGTGTGTATTTTCCGAGGATTTCTAATAAACTCGGAGCCAGCTGTTCCAATGGGCAGTATGTCATCCTGTAGTTGACAATCTTTATCATGCGACTTAACGCCCCTAGTTCATAGCGAGAAAGAAGGCCTAGAAGAAGACATTAAACATTGTCATTTTACCGTGTAATAATCATTTGGCGGGGTTAGATTTTTGCCTCAGCTAGACGCTTTCGCCCGGATGTACGCAAAATCACTCACTCCTCCGGAGCACTCTCTGGTACTTGGATTTTTATCGATCTTCGGAGAATATTGGACAGTGATTGGTTTTCTTGCATTTTATCGCATTCAAAAGACAGCAAAAGGCTTTAAGAGTGTAAGGACAAAGATCAAAGTCAAGCGCAGTGAAAAATGTCAACAGTGTGACGACCTTTCGGCGTTCGGGGTGGGAATCGATATTCAATTTTAAAATTTGTTGACTCAGTTGTGGGGTTCACTTGAAGATCTAGGCTGATAAAAGTGATGAAATACACCATCCAGACACATCGAAGTTTGGTGCTTTGGTGCAGTCTACAGTCTGTGTCACTGAGATCGGCGAGATATTTTGTTTCCATGATGGCCTATATATCAAAAGAGGGTAGAAAATCTGTTTGAAAGTAACAAATGTCCAGAGTCCATCGGAAGGAGTTAATTAAGATAATTCCTGCGGACGTATCCCAAAAATCGAATAGTTCTGAGGCCAATTTTGTACGTTGAAATACAAAGCGCACGCAAATATAGGAGCACCAGAGTGACAAGTTGAGAAGACAGAATTGTTTTTTAAGTGTATACCAACCGGCTGGTGTATCGGAAAGGTGAGAAAACTCTCCTCTTTTCGAATCTATGTGACAGATCGACCAATAACATGGGACAACAGACCTGGCTTGTAGACAGGCCAACCTGTTATTTGATTTGGCCTTGACACCTCGCCATCTTGTCGATAACTCTTAAGCTTCCACAGGTGCCCGAACCCAGTGGGAGTATTGGACAAGTATAATAATGCAATAAAAAAGAGATGGGGCTGTCTGTCAAACCACTGCTCGAAAACGACCTTCCCCCCATAAAATGCACCAGACTGCATTTTCTACATCCAAAACAAGCATGTTACGCGGATGCTGTTTGGGTCTAGAAGTCGCCGCCTGATCAGTCAGGACTAAGACATCGTTGCCTCCTACCCGCATACACTAGCGTCAGTATTTCCACGATCGCAGCTGCCGTGTAGTAGGTGCCTGGAAACTATTGGGACGAATGTTTTACCGTATCTATAAAGCTAGTCTTCAGCTGAATGCGAGCTTCTTCGAGGACATAGTGGACGGATAAATGTGGTTCAATATGAACGCGAGGAGAAGATGAGATAAAGCAGGGACTGGAGATACATTTGCGAGTTCTGAAGTCGGTTACTCTGTTTAAAAGCTCTTGGGAGGTGAAAATAATGCCCCACACATGTATTACCTATTTGTCGACATAAATCTCGATCGGATACGGAAATATGGACGTCCACTATTACAGGTGGACTCGTGTAAAATTCCAGGAGGTTTTCGCTCACATGTCTTAATTTTACCACCGACACTATCATGCATACTAACCTGCTCAACTCCGAAGACGAAGATGCGATCATGGGAATAAGAAATTTATTGGCCTGACGTTTCGGATTCTCACTCGAATCCATCACCAGAGACATTTTCAGATAAAGGTGAAAGTGGCACTAGGAGTGCAGTATTTATAGCACGTGGCTGCCGTGAGACCATATGCGCGCTGTAATTAACAGCTCTCGCAATCACGCTGGGGTCGTAACTGCTGCGGGCCTGAGAACCAAGATTCCAGCAGCTCGCCGCGGCTCACGCGGTTGTCACCCCTTGCGAGGATTCCAGCCTCTTGAAACTTGAAAATATGGCCGGGTCCCGTCGAGTGTTCCGCCACCTGGGAGCTAACGTCTCCCCGCCTCACTGCTGCTGCGTGCTCGGCAATTCGCGTACGGAGTAATCTACCAGTTTCTTCGACATAGTTGCTTTGTCCGTAACTACACCAGATCCATATTGTCCACATTGCCGCGTCTAATTTTATTAGCCAATGTCATTCCATGAAGACTTGTTTATTGGCAGTGTACATCGCTTTATGTCTTTCTCCGTGTGCAGAATATAATCGTTCTCGGGGATATGAACGCAGGCTGCAGATACTTATCGAAACGGAAAAGGCGAAATCTGCAATTCACCAAGGACTATTCCTACAGGTGGTTGATAAGTGACGACATGGACACAACTGTCTCGCGTCGAGATTGTGCCCTTGATCGGTGAGCGTAGTAGAACTTTTTTGCGATCTCAAGCAAAAAAAATTAAATTCGTATTCACACTCAAACATGAAATGCTTATTCAAGGTTGCCTTGAATTTTATTTATCACATGGTCCAGCTGCTTACAGAGTTCTGGTTTCCTCCTCCGTATTGCAGTGGCCTCTGCAAAGCGCAAGAGACGCCCGGTCGTCGCCCGAAACAGGACCTTGAATGCAACCATTTGGTCCACCGTATGGCCCCTGTCCAATAGGTGCTTTGTGATTGAGCTCCTGGGTACCTTATTTTCCGCCTTAAGCAGCCACTTCGGCATGTGTTCAGCTGACCGAGCTGCCAATTGCCTTTGCGTGCGCCCGATGTACTTGCATCCGCAACTACATGTAAACTCATAAATACAGTTTGATGTGGCGTGCATAGGCAAAATGTCTTTAGCTGGTCTAACTGGGATGGAGGTTGTGGTACTTATGAACAACAATTTAGAGGCGGCATACGTCCTTTCGATAGTGCACCTAAGTCGTCGCTTGATCACGTTTGACACATTATCACCCTTGAAGGGGAGGTAGATGGTCACGGACTTTTTAGGTACAGATATTTCTTCAGGAGTTTCTTGTCTGGGATGCCGATATTTATCGATGAATTTCTCCGGATACCCGTTTGCAAGAAAAACGTTTTTTAGGAAAGTAAGCTCGCCATCGATCGTATCTGAGGAGCAGATTCTGGTGGCTCTATTGAACAGGCACAAAACCAAGTTCCGTTTTCTCTGAATTGGAACGAAACTGAGGAAGTGCATGTATTGTCCTTTCCAGGTGGGTTTTCGATAGATGGATCTCTGAATAGAGCCATCTGCTCGCCTACGTACAAGAATATCCAGGAAAGGCAGTGTGTCATTCTTCTCATGCTCGATCGTAAATTTGAATTTGAATTTTATTGACAAAACCTCATAACACATTTTTCTTACATTTGCAGTTTCATTGTGAGAGGAGAAACCCTGGTTAGTCGAATCGTGCCGAATTCGGCTAGGCCAATGAAATTTGACGAAGTTTTCAATCTCAGCCCGAAAATGGTAAGCGTATGCTACTCTGGGTCCTTCCGGGTTAAAGTAATAGGCCAGACATACGGAAGAAGTCAGTTGTTGCTTTTTTAAAAAAACTGAACATACAACTTCCCTTATTTTGGCCAGTAACATATGTTCTACTTCGATCGCCGCCTAAATTTGTTTTGTAGGATAAAAATGTGTACTGTTTAGCTGGGCATATTTCTTATAATTGGTGAGAATATGCGCTTCAAATGGGCAGTTTAAGAATTTTTTTATTCATTTTATCCATTAATTTTAGGCAAGGGCGGTCAGTGATCACTATCCCATTCAGATGGAGATTCGCTGATTAACCTGCCGTGATCCTTACCCCCTTCGTACTGCTGGATTTATTTTGATTTGACTTCCATTACAAATTATATGATTATTATTATTATGATCACTACGAGCTTCTTTGCACATGATTTCTTCCTCTTACCAAAGTTGACACTCTTAAAACTGTACCCATACAAACAAAGATTTCCGCGTGACGGTGAGAAACTGGCTTTTGACAAAAGAGGAAGAGATACTTAATTAATTCACATAAGCAGTCCGCTTTTCGGGAATATGGACAAGTAATAAGGACAACATCGGGAGCTCGAATAGTATTCTGCACTTCCGTTCAATAACATCTGAGACGTCCCCTCTTCTGCCTTATTGTGAAGTTCTGGTCCGCGCCTGTTGTGAGCCAAGGGTTTTGGCCGTATGCCTAGGTGCCTATGTTTTCCCGCGCCCTCCCCCACCTTCGGTCTTCTTGACTCTGTTATGGCATCGAGCCCCGGTGGGGGAGGGGAGAGTAGAGTAGATGCTGTGCAAGTCTACTATCACTATAAATCGATACGCGCGCAAGTCACCGGCCCTGCTCCTACCCTGCTCTGGAGTACATGGTGGACAGCGTTAGAAAAGACATTTGAACTGTTGTGTGTATGTGTTTCCCCAACCTGGAATTTGAAACCGCAGGTCAAGAATGCAGAGCGATCGTCGTAATCCATTGCGATCTGGTATTGACGTCATTGGTGGAGTCTTGGGCATAACTGTGTCTGATTGTTTACCTCCGTTCACTTCAAAGTAGGTGTAGAAAGGAATCTGGCCCAGCCGTCGCACTCCGCCACTACTAACAAATTGGCTTTAACACTCTGCTATGACACTTCTTCCTCTCAGGTTGCCCCGTGCTTACTTTATGGTCTGCAATATTGATCTGCGCAGTGCAGCCGGCCACCTAGAGGTCAACTGACTCCTGGGAATTTGACGCTGCCTGCAAAAACGACACTCGATATACGGTGACTACTGAGTTAGTATGAATTCTCTCCGTCGATTTTCGATACCCTTATAAATTAACATATATCTTAGGGGGGGCACGCACAAAAGTATTCTTTTTGTGCTTTTTTATTAGCAAATTACTTCCTCCACGAACTTTATGCTTGAAAAAATGGTATCCGTTGAGATGGATCACGATATATTCTTTACGGGCAGACAACAGAAAGAAGCTCACTCAGAAGCCTGCATTCTGGTGTTACTGAAACCTCTTGAGAGGTGACGAATATTATAAAACCGCCTTAGTAGCCCTTCTCAACAGTTAAAATTTCGCAGGATTGGTCGGCTACTGTACAGTTAGGAAAATTGCGGAGCTGTGATAAAATTCATTTCTGTAGGTGTCTCCTTCATCCTAAAGTGGTTTTAGGGGTCTTAGTAATCTGCAGGAGCTTCCTATCGGAAAGCCCGTTCAAACATTCTGCGAGAGTGGTTTCCATCCAAATCGAAGCCCAGGGGTAACCGTGGTCTCCCCCGTTGATTTGCTCACTGTATAAGTCAGATTGCATGCTCGCCATCTTGACAAAATGTTTGAATATTTTTCCGCCGTCTCTATCGGAAGGTAGAGATCACTTGCAGAGACTGAGTCAGACTTCGAATTCCATGTGCGCAGTCCGGTATTTTGATGGCTGGTGACGGAACACAAACCAGAAGTTGCCACCTCATTGTCCCTATACTTGTAGACAAACACTTCTTAATTGTTGACTGGTAGTCACCGTGCGAACACTTGTACAGCCTGAGCTCCAAAGCTAAACGGAAAGACTCACTTCCGTCCCATAATTAGGGCAGATCGGTGAACGCTGAGGGGAGCCTAATGAAAGTATGGCACTTTTAACCTCAATCAGATTATCATTTCCTTGTGTACTTTCCTCCTAAATGATTGATTGACTGAATCCCGATGTTTGCAGTCAGGGAACTTTAGTAAACCATTGGTCACTCGTTTGCCTGTCGCATTTTTCCATGTTAGGTGTTGACAGACACTGGTTTGCACAGTCTCTCGATCTCCAGCAACCCAACAGACGTGTTCGCAGCAAACGTGTTTCCCCGCATGTAGTCTATCTTGAGTCCTTTAGCCGTCTGTTATCAATATAAAAACCTGAAAAGGTATCGTCTCACCACTGTTGAGATGTCGTTGAAGTGGTGCCCTCAGACTGGGATTGTTAGTCGGGCTATATTACATTTCGACCATCGTTGCTAAAGATGGCCACCATATGCGCCTCGGCAGGTGAGAGCAGGGACGATGAACTGCGCGCGAATTAATTTACTTTGATGGTAGACTTGCGCAGCACCTACCGCACTCTCTCCTCCCCCACCTTCCTGGTCCCAGTGTCAAGACAGAGTCAAGAAGACCGAAGGGCGGGAGAGGACGCAGGTGACTGACACAGCGTAAACCCGCACCTGGGGATACCCTGGTCCACACCCTATATTGGCCGGGTTATATAATCATCAACCGACTCTTCTACACCTTTGTACTTTGCCAAAAATCATAAAGGCGTCTTGAGCGCATTATTTTGAGCTCCGCAGACTTGATCCAAAACAAGTTTTAGGGTCACATCTGTACTCAAATAGCAACAGCAGGCTGTGTTAGGTCTAAGTCTCGCCGTTTCAAACGTCAAACCTTTAATTCAGCTGCGTTTTCCAATGCAATTATCAACCTTTTAAATATCTTTTTAAACATTCGGTTTCACCAGTCTCCTGAGGGGGACTTCAGTGTAATGGGAAATTAAGAAAACTTCAATTAAGCCACGGAAGACGACGTTCGCAACGTCGGTCCGGGGGACAATACTGAAGGCTAGACGTACACGTTTTGTGTGCTCGAGAAACTGTGTGCTGGTTGAGACCAAGCCCGCCGGTATGGCCAATGAACGAACTCGGGTGCATGTGTATCAACCTGCACACGGTTCAACGACATACCGATACAATAGCATTAGGCTTTGCGCGGCGCGTGATAGAGCGGTGCCCTAATTCCCCCACTTACCGATTAAACGGCCCTATGTATCCGCTTGCTTGAGTTCTAGGTTCGAATTTCAAGGGGAAGCTGGGGTGCATGCTTCGATGAATGCTGCTCTTAGGTGGGTTACATTTTGGTGTAATTTGACCACTCTACAAAACGGGCTTAAACTGGCTCATGGAGTACATTTGTTGGACTGCGCCAAGTCTGCGGGAGTCCTCAGTGATTCTCGTCCGAACATGTGATCCGCCTGCCGCTAAATCAGCCGCTGCGCCAAACCTCATCACCAGTTAACCGACGAGCGCTGAAAAGGAGAGGAACGAATGATGCCTCTCCTGGGGGAGGGGGGGGGAGGAGGAATCTCTCTTCATGGAAATCCTGCGCGTCCCTTCCTGTAGTTAATCTGACGCGCTCGACTCTATTAGTACGCTCGAATACTTTTAGCCTAGAAGGTTAAAAACCGACGATAGGGCTCGGCCCCATTCAAGATTGAGGGTTAAATGGCGATGGTTTTATTTCACTATGACCATTGTAGAACCCACTTGGAACCAGAGACCCCCGCACCGTTGTCTGGTGGGTGCAGAGGGAGGCCAACCTGCGTACCGCACGCGTAGATGGGATGTTTGGCTTTTCCAGGCACTGCATCCACACAAGTCCTGACATTTTCCTGCCATCGGAGCAAGGTGGGTGGCGTTAGAGGAAATGGCGAGGTGGCTGCAGCACAACTGTTCTTGAATACGAGGTAGGGATTGACCTCAGCGTCCGTAACGATCAAAATACATACCGGCAATGAATCTTCCTCGAGACAGTTGAAATTTTAAAGGTTTTTTGCTCAATGAAACATGTGAAGAACGTCTGAACCATTACACGTCTGCGGCCGTTAAAATCAGCCAAGGAACCGCTCTCGGAAACGGTCGGTTACGTTGTCCTGGTCCCAAGAGCAAGCGCAATGTGGGCAGTGAGAGGAAAGTAAGCCGAAGGGGGATGCTGAAATCAATAGTGGGGAAAGTAGCCGAGGCTGAAACAGAAAAGGCGATCTGATGTATGAAAAATCTGCAGCGAGATTGAAGGAAAAATAAAATCCCCACAAAAGACCTGACTGGCAGGACACGCGGCGCAGCAATATCCCAAACCTAGGGGTAAACATAACCGTTGTTGCAAAAATACACCTAAACCTTGGCTTAATTATAAACTTAACGTTAACCCTAAGTTTACACTAAATCTAATCCTAAACATACCACAAATCCTAGGTCTAATCCTAACCCATGACCCTAACTTTAACCGTAACCCTGACTTAACCCTAACACTACCCCTAACCTCGACCTTCACACTAACCGCAAACCTAAACTGCAATCAAAACCCTAACTCTAACCGGAACCCCTGAACTTAACGCAAACTCTAACCCTAACTTCAATTCTCAGCCTGGCATTAACCTAGACCCCAAACTAACCATACCCCTAAACTGAAACATCAGCCTGCCGTTTTCCGTTTTACCTTTGACTACTTTTGCAATAATGATTTCGCCATCATACTTCGGCTTACTTTACTTGCAGTGCCCGCATTGCGCCTACACCTGCGTAGGCGATCCCTACCCTTCTTTCCACAACGCTATCCTCTTTTCCCCATCCAGACAAAGGGTCCTTCTCATGATGCTGGTTCAATAAATTTTATTCTTTTACTTTCCTATACTGATCGGTTTCATGTTTATGTGCCGATTTCGGAACGCGTGCAAAATCGCAATACTTCTTCTGGTTGGACGTCCAGCGCAACCCACGCATGGTGTTTATGAATGACTATCCCGACTGGAAGGCAAACATAATTCTTCTTTCTGTGAATCAGATTCGGGGCATCTATCAGTCATGATTTACAATAAGCGAAGAGCAGGGTACATTTATGAGAAGTAGGAGTCCATTACACTCGCACATACTGACAGCTTACCGCCTATTTATGAGGACTACAATAAACTCCTTCCTATTCAGAATACCCTTAGGATTTCTGTTGGGCCTATGGGGTCAATCATCTTCACTTACACAAGTGTTGCAACCCAT